ACTTACTACAAATCTGCAGTAATCGAGACAATGTGGTACTGGCATAAAGACAAACCTAAAGACCATGGTACAGAATAGGGAAGTAAACCCTCCCATGTATAAGGGTGCCAAGACCATTCAATGGGGAGTCTTTTCGACAAATGGTGCTGGGAAAACTGAATATCCACATGCGAAAGAATGAAGTTGGACCCTTACCTAACACTATACACAAGCATTAACTTGAACTGAAGCAAAGGCCTAAATGTAAGACCGAAAACCATAGAAGAAAACATACGGCAAATAATTTCTTGGATATAACACTAAAGGTGTATATAACAAAAGAAAAAATGAGCAAATTTGACCTCATAAAATTTAAAACTTTGGGACATCAAAAGACACCATCAGCTGCGTGAAAGGTAACCCACAAATGAGAGAAAACATTTGCAAATTCTTTATCTGATAAGGGATTTATAAACTGAATGTATTGAGAACTCCTAAAACTCAACAACAACAAAACTCCAAGTGGTGTGGTTCAAAAATGGGCAAAGAACTTGAATAGACATTTCTGTGAAGAAGATATATGAATGGCCAATAAGCACATAAAAAAATACTCAGCATAACTAATCATTAGGGAAACGCAAATCAAAACTGTAATTAGATACCACTCACAGCCATTAGGAGGACTACAATTAAAAAAAAAACAGAAAATAACCAGTGTTGATTGAACTGTTGAATGATACAGTCATTGCGGAAAAGAGTATGGTGGTTCCACACAAAAATTAAACAGCCTTAACCATATGATCCAGCAGTTCCACTTCTGGATATATATCTAAAAGAATTGAAAGCAGAGACGCAGAGATTTGTGCACATCCGCGTTCGTAGAAACATTATTCATAATAGCTAAAACGTAGAAGCAATTCAGTGACCACTGAGAGATGACTGGATAAACAATATGTGATATATGCATACCGTGGAATGTTATTCAGCCTTTAAAAGGAAGGAAATTTGGTTGGGCACCATGGCTCATGCCTGTAATCCCAGCACTTTGGGAGGCCAAGGTGGATGTATCACCTGAGGTCAGGAGTTCAAGACCAGCCTGGCCAACATGGTGAAACCTTGTCTCTTTTGAAAACGCAAAAATTAGCCAGGCATGGCTGTGGGCGCCTATAATCCCAGTTGCTTGGGAAGCTGGTGGGAAAATTGCTTGAACCTGGAAGGCAGAGGTTGCAGCCATTGTCCTCCAGCCTGGACGACGAGAGCGAAACTCCATCTCAAAAAAAAAAAAAAGGAAGGAAATTTGGACACGTATTACAACATGAATGAACCTTGAGGACATTATGCAAAGTGAAATAAGCCAATTACAAAAGGACATATACTGTATGATTCCACTTATATGAGGTACTTAGAATTGGCAAAGTAATAGAGACAGAAAGTGGAATGGGGGTGCCAGAGGCTGGGAAAAGAGAAAAGTGGTGGAGGAGTGTTTGTTAGTGGGTACAGAGTTTCTGTTTCACAAGATGAACAGTCCTGGGAATGGATGGTGGTGATGATTACACAGCACTATGAATATATTTAATCCCACTGAACACACTTAAACGATGATTAAGACAGCAACTCTTACGTTCATTTTGCCACAAAAATTTAAAAAGCACTTTAGACAATGCTTTGGCACCTCTAGACTGTGGGAAGTCAGGGCTGTCGTCTTGGTCATGGTATTCGGTGTCTGAAACGTTTGATACCAGCCAAAATTAATCACCATGTGATATGACAGGTTCAATCAGTTTTGTGAGCCCCTCGAAAGGATAAACAAGTTGGAAGTGCGTCTGTCGCTTTAGGGACACTTCGGTGCTCTGATGGAGCGAGTCTTCGAATGTGAGGCAGTGCGTCTCTATGCCTCTGCTCCTAGAACACCGCCTGCAAAGGAAAAGTTTGACTTTGATCCAGCTCTAATCAGGGGAAGGTCATTTTGGTCCTAATTTCAGCATTAATCAGTTTCTGCTAGTGTATGGTATGTTCTCAAACTGAATGAGGGTCTCTCTTTGTAACGACTGTGATTTCAACCACACCCTCTGAATACAGGCCTCCTGTGCCTGCTCGAGTGCCAAGCAGGTCATATTTGCCAGTACTGGTCCTACTGAGTGATGCGAGGACTTCAAAGCCCCTGTAGGACAAGTAACAAGGTCTCTATTAAGCTAGAAACTTGTCTGTCATTCTTTCCACTGTTGTTTTGTGTAACCAAAGGGAGTTGTTGGGAGCAGAAACTTCTAAAAGACCTTGCAAAAATCATGATCATCCACTTCTAACATGGGATGAATAATATTGCTAATAACTTATTCTAGGCCACCCAGGTCATTTTTGGAGAAAGTTCAGTGGAATACTACATTGCTCTGCTAGGTCTACAAAGAAAGTTATCGAAAGTTATCAGAATAGTAATATGCTCTGTAATGGCGCCTGCTATAGTCAAACCTTCACAAGGGGAGTCAGTCTGTCAGATGACAGGCAACAGCATGGTCTGGCCAGGGTGAGAACTGCGCATAAAATCACTACAGTTCTGTGGCTGCTGACACCCAGGTCCACCCCTCTACTCTTCAGAGAGAGAGTTTTGGATCCTTCTTTAAGCGTGTGTTTTCTTGACCCTTTAATGATTTGTAGAGGGGTCTGGGCCAACAGTTTGCCTAAGAAAAGTTCCAATAGCCCAGTAACAAAACCTACAGGGTGTCGGTGTGTAGAGAGCAACAGGTGGGAAGGGCAACACAGGAAGAGGCCAGTAGATTCAAAGAAACGGACTCACGCTGGTTTTTGCAAGCAAAGTCTTGACACTTGGTCAAAGCAGACAGGTAGAGTTCCAGAAAACACCATGGCTTGACCTCTAGTGAGTATAGATCCCTTGTTCTCCCTAGAGCGTACTTGGTTTTGTTTCTAATTTCTATGAAGTGTTTTAATTACTGGAGAAAATCTGCAGCTGTGGAATGTTTTTTCTCAGAATACAGGTGGTGGGCTGTGTCTTTTCTTAAGCTTTTTTGTTTTCAGCTGTTTAGCAAAACCTAATTTTTCTAGCATACCATAGCTAGTCTGTATTCTGTTCCACAGATCTGCATGTTCATTCTTTTGTGAATACCACTCTGTCTGGATTACTGTAACTTTATATATAGTAAATCTCAAAATTTGGTAGTGAAAGTCCTCACATTTTTTTTTTTTTCAGAATTCTTTTAGCTATTTGAGTTCCTTTGCCTCTCCATATAAATTTTAGAATTACATTGTATCTACAGAAAATTCTCCTGGGACTTGACTGGTATTGTGTGGGCTCTATAGGATAATTTGGGGATAATTAATATTTTTACTATGTTTAGTCTTCCAATTCATGAACATAGTATGTCTCTCCAACTAGTTAGGTCTTCTTTGATTTCTTTCAAACAATTTGAGATTTCTTTCTGAATTTTGTAGGTTTTAGATACAGATCTTATACATGGTTTATTAGATGTATTCCTAAGTATTTTATTTTTGAAACTATTATAAATGGCACAGATTTTTAAATTACAGTTTTTAATTGGCCACTGCTAGTTGAATTAATTTCTATAGTGAGTGTAACAAATTTCTACAAATTTGTTGCTCAAAGTAGCAGAAATGTATTCTCTCACAGTTCAAGATGTCAAAAGTCCATAATTAGTTTTGAACCAAAATCAAGGTGTCTGTTAGCAGGGTCGCGTTCTTTCCAGAGGCAGCAGGGGAGCATTTGTTCTTTGCTGGTTCTAGCTTCCGGGGGCTGCCAGCACTTCTTGGCTTGTGACTGCATCATTCCAGTCTCTTCTCTGTCTTCATATTGCCTCTCCTCTGTGTGTTGACTCTTCGTCTGCCTCCATTTTTATAAGGACCCACTTGTGATGCCATAGAGGGCCCACCTACGTAATCTAGGATATTATTCTCATCTCAAGGATCTTAATCGCATCTACAAAAACTTTACAAAGGGTAATTCTGGCCTCATAAAATGCAATGATACATGTTTCCTTCTCTTCTGTTTTCTGGACGTGATTGTGGATATTTTCTGTTATTTCTCCTCTGTGTGTTTCATAGAATTTACCAATATAAACATTTGGACCTAGTGCTGTTATTTTTCAGAAGGTTTTTGATTACAAATTCAATTTTCTTCATAGTCATATGACTATCTAGGTTACCTATTTCAGCTCAGGCAAGTTTTAGTAGTTTATAGTTTTTGAGAAATTGGTCCATTTAATCTAAGTTGTCAAATGTGTATGCATAGAATTATTCATTGCGTTCTGTTGTTATTCTTATATTATCTGCAGTATCTATAGTTATGTCTTCTTTTTCTTTATTGCTAATTTGTGCTTTCCCTCTATTTTTCTTTATCAATCTTGCTAGTGAGTTATTAATGCTATAGATCTTTTCAAATAATTGGTTTTGGGTTTATTCATTTTCCCTATTGTTTTTTTTTCTGTTTTCAGTTTCATTGATTATTTTGTCTTTATTATTTCCTTCCTGCTGTTTGTCTTGGGTTTATTTGTTTCCTCTCTTTTCTAGATTCTTAAAGTTGAAGCTCAAATTGTTTGAGACCATTTTTCTTACTGAATATAAACCTTTAATGTTACATATTTCTTTTTAAGCATTATTTTAGCTGCATTGAACAAATTTTGATATATTTCCATTTTCATTTAGTTCAAAATATTTTCTAATATTCTTTGAATCTTACTCTTTGACGCAGTGACTGTTTAGAAGAGTCTTATTTAATTTCCAAGTGTTTTGAAATTTTCCTATTATTTTTTGATGTTGATTTCTATCTTAATTCCATTATGGCCTAGGAATATGCTCTGTATGATGTCATTTAGGTTTGTTAAGGTTTGCTTTATGATCCTTGATATAGTCAATCTTGGTGAATGTTTGGTTATTTCGATATTGGGTTTTCCTTAAAAGGAGCCATACTTGAAGCTGGACCCACCTGTTCACAGATTTACTCAAGACTCTTCCTGGAAGATTGTCACTCACAGCCAATTCTTTCCTTTGTCTAGGACATCCAGGATGTGAGGAGCGATGATGAAGAGGAAGAGGAAGAGGAGGAGGAAGAGGAAGAGGTGACCAAAGGCAAAGAGATGGATTGTTTAAAGAATGGCCTCGGGGCTGAGAGGCACCTCATTCACAATGGTCAGCATGGCCGTTAGCTGGAAGCCCACAGGACGCCCCCGGCACTGTGTGCTGCAATGACTTTGGCAGCCTGGCTTCCAGGCCCCACACAGACCCCAGATTCTGGCCTCCTCTCTTTCTTACCACCGCCTTCCCTCCCACCTAAGATTTGTTCAACAAGGTGTTGTTAACTTGTGTTAAAATGTTAAATATAAGCGTGCCCATGGATTTTTACTGCGGTTAGGACTCAGACTGGTCGACGATTTCAAAGATTTCTCCAGAGAACCGTTTCAGTTCTAACGGCACTCCTTCATGCATGTCACTTTCTCAGGTGCTTGCTTTAACGTAGGCCTTTTCGCCTTCCCACCTTGCCTGTCCATGGGATGCTTTCACGAGCGCATCTTCCCCAGGTGCATTTGGCCACAACGAGCATCTTGTTTCTCAAAAATGAGTTAGAATTGGCAGCGGGACAGGGACAGAAGGACCACACCAGGAGACACTTCCAGGTTCATGGCCACGTCCTGAAGCTTAGGTGCCTCATCTCCACAGGGCGGGTGGCAGTCCCCACCTGCCACCCCACAGGGTTGCAGTAAGGATTAAGTGAGATCACAGAAGTGAAAGTACACACTGTCAACCGTGGGGTCGTCATGAGCCAACCCACTTTGTACTGTGATTCCAGCTCTGCTTGGGAGAGAGAAACCTGGCTAAACTTGACACTGCGAGGGCCCGAACAAAAGGCAGAATCTTTAAAAATTCCTCTTACATGACTGTGGAGATACCTGGAAGTCAAAGTGCCAAGAAAGATGTTCCATTCTATTTGCTAACTGTTTATGTGTTCGCTCCCCAACGGGCTTTCTCAGATTCTCCTCAAATTCTTCTCCCTCAGGACCCACGGTTCAAGGAAGGAAGTCTGGGCCCTGTTCCTTCCTGTCCTTTGCAGTCTTTCCCTTTTTTCCTTTCTGGGAGGGAAGCTTCTGTGCTGCTACTCTCAGCCCTTCCTTCAGGCCAGCATAGCTACCTGGGGGCCTCCCCAGCAGAACGGGATCCGGCCAGGCCAGGCTGCTTGCTGAGCCATGTCACCCAGGAGGCCTGAGCCTCTGGGGAGGGCATGCATGTGCACTGCCTGACCCAGGGCAAATCTTGGAAACAGAGGATGCCACATGATTTCCTCTCGCTGCCAACCCAATCAGCCTGCGTCACAGTGAAACAACACAACACAGAAGGCCAAAATATACCCCTGAAAAATGTTCAAGGCCAGGTGTGAGGGTCAGTGCCAGCTCCCTGGGAGGAGGGATGGGATGGGCAGGTCAGTAGACACCTTGTCCTCACCCTCAGGAAGTGGACACTGCAGGAGATCCGCACACGTCCCTGCCTCCCTTATGGTCTTGTCACCACAGGGACACATCTCTGGGGCACAGGGTGCAGGGCTGAGCTGGGAGACTTCTCAGGTGGCTGCTGACTGAGGAGAGGCCAGGCCTTCCCAAGGAAGACCCTGAATAGAATATGCATCTGCCCTCACCCCCGCCACAGTGTCTAATGATGGTCAGATTTTGTATCTTCATCCTATATGTTCAGGGGCTTGTATTGTCAAGCCACATGTGAGGTTGGCTTGTAAGGGCTGGAAAATCAGCCCCAGGCAGTGCAGCTGAAGGGCCCCTTGGAGCAGGAAGGATGCTCTGCACAGAAAAGACTGCTTTATTATGATTTTTTCATAAAAATATACATTTGAAACCTTAAGGCTAAACAAAAATAAAAGATCCTTTAGAATTTTTTCTGCAACAAAATGTCTTTTTGAGCAATTGTTAGAACAGAAAAAATAAGGTCGGATTTTCTCTCCATAACATTTGCTTTTATGAGGGCAATATATGCATTATATATATATATAATGTATTATAAATCAAAATGCCTGCACCCACTTTAGGGCATAGCTGTTGATTTATTATTAATATTATTATTTCAGTGGAAAAAGGTCACATTAAGATACTATTTTTTATGTTTTCAATTAATGGTATATTTTCTTCTTCACTTATTTGGTGTTTCTCTCTGTACCAAATATCTTCTTGCTTAAGGTAGAAAAGTTTTTGTGTACTGCTCTATCTCAAGTTTTTTTTTCTCATTTGAATGTTGAAGGTAAAATTGATAGACCAATTTTTACTATTTCTGATAGAGCTGGAAGCACTAAAGCGCTTCATAAGAAGTAGATACGCATTTTTCTAACACCATTTAGGGATTTTGTGGTTAATTTGAAAGAAAATCACTCTTCCTGCAGGAAACAAGGGCTCAGGATTCTTCCAGATGATTTTATAAGAATACAGTCCACAGTGCCATCAGTACTGTAACCGTAATGATTTACGATAAAACAGAGTCCAGCGTACACGGTGACAGAGCAGATTCAGCACACACGTTACTTGGCTTCTTAGGGATAATAACAGGTCTCCCCATGTAGTGGAAATGAAGATTTGCATTCCTCCGGTAAGGCCGTGCCAGGAATCAGGGAGGCAGTGAGGAGAAGGAAGCCAGGTAGGGATATTCAAGCCTCTGCCTTTGCGGTGCCAGAAACCAGACAAGAGGAGGCTGGCTGACATGGGGAGCCCCTGCCCGATTGGAGTGAGCCTCTGGGACTGCAAGGTGGAACCAGACAGTCAGCCTGGGGGCCGGAGTCTAACCAGAGCACGGCATCTGCACCCACTGAAGTCTAAGAAAAGGGATTGATTCTAAAGGAGTTTTCTCAGCCTCATTTTCAGTATTTACCTTTCAGAGGTACAGGAGGTCATAGAGTCTAGATTGATGGTTCAACTGGCTGTCCGTCAGAATGACCCGTGGAGCTTTAAAAAAAATGCATCCTGCCCGTTTCCTGCTCCACTTTTGATTCAATACTTCTGGAGTGAGAAGCAGAAATCTTTGTTTTAACAGAGCCCCGCGTATTTCTGGAGAGCAGTCAAGCTTCTGTGTGCCCTCCCTGGTTTAGTCCTATCAGCAGTTTCGTACACTAAGAGACGGGAAAATGCAATGACACAGAATATTTAATCCAAAATAAAAGAAGAAAAGGAAACGGAACAGGCAAATGAATCTCAAACTCAAGAGGCTGAGTAGGTAGATTTTAGCTCCCATTTATCAGTAATTACACAATTACATGGTGCTTACAAGAGGTGCACTATACAGCATGGGCAAAATGTTGAAAGGAAAAAGATGGAGGAATACATACCGCGCAAACTCTCCTCCTCCCAAAAAAATGCTGTCATCGTTATATCACCATCAGACAAAGGAAGGAGAACTAGTGGACAGTAAGAGGAATGTTTAATACCTAAGGAAAGAGGCTAGGTGTGGTGGTTCACACCTGCAATCCCAGCACTGTGGAAGGCTGAGGTGGGTGGATCACCTGAAGTCAAGTTAAGACCAGCCTGGCCTACAAGGTGAAACCTCGTCTCTACTAAAAATACAAAAATTAGCCAGGCGTGGTGGCAGATGCCTGTAATGCCAGTACTTGGGAGGCTGAGGCAGGAGGATCCCTTGAATCCGGGAAGCAGAGGTTGCAGTGAGCCAAGACTGCCATTGCACTTCAGCCTGGGCAACAAGAGCAAAGCTCCCTCTCGAAAAATAAATAAATAATGAAAAAGATTAATCCACTAGGAAAATATAAAAATTTTAAATCTGTATACACCTAATAATATAGCTTCAAATATATAAAAAGAATTCACAGAATTAAAGGGAGTAACAAATTTATAATCCTGAGTGGTTTTTAATCCATCTCTCAGTGTCTGATAGAACAAGAAGACAGAAAAATCAATAGGAATGGAGAAGATTTGAACGATGTCACGAACGAAATTGACCTAGTTGAGATATATATAGAACACTGCCCCCAACAGCTGCAGAATGTACATTTGTTTCGAGTGCATATGGAACATTTACCCAAACAGGCCCTATACTAGCCTGTAAGGCAATTTTCTAAACATTTCAAAGGTTTAAAGTCACATGGAGTATGATCACAGATAACAGTGAAATTAAACTGGAAATCTGTAACAAAAAGATAAGTGGAAAAATCTCCACATATTTTTGAATTAAGCAGTGCACTTCTAAATAATCTGTCGATCAAAGAAGAAATCACAATGGAAATAAAACATTTTAAACTGAATTATAGCAAAAAATGTGTGGGAAGCAACTAATCACAAATTTAGAGAAACATTTATATTAAAAGCTTTTATAAGCAAAGATAAAGGCTGACATAAACCAGTGGTCTAAATGTATCAAAATATAAGAAGGAAAATGAATAGCATGGAAAAAACGTGATAGCTCAGAGTATCAAGAAAACAAAAGTTGGTTCCTTAAAAGAAAAGCATTATCAAATTCTAGCACGACTGATGAAAGACAAAGAGCAATGTGAGGGATGAGCAGGATCTGTGAGGACAGACCAAGCAGAAGGCTGACAGGTAATAAGCGAATACTGTGGGCAGCTGTGTGTCAACACATTCGAAGACGTGCATAAAACATGTAAGTTCCTAGGAAAATACAGCACAAGAAGAAATAGATAGTTAAATAGTGCTGTGTCTGAAACAAAACAATCTGAAATTTAAACCCTACTCCCCCAACCCCACTCCCCCAAAAATCCACCAAAATACTTTAGGCCTAGATCAGTGAATTCTTCCAATATTTAAGGAAAAAAAATTATACAAGTATTATGTAACCTTTTGCAGGGACAGAGGGAATAAACACACTTCCAAACTTGCTCTATAAGGCCAACATAATCTTGATGCCAAATCTGACAATAATATTAGAAGAAAGAAAGAAAACTGTAGGCTAAGTCCATCATGAACGTAGGTACAAAATTCCTACATGAAAGCAAACTGAATTCAGCAATATATAAAGAGATAATGTGTGAAAAACAGGTTGGGTTTATTTTAGGAACTAGAGATTGATTTAATACTTGAAAATCAGTGTTATTCACCATTTTTATAAAAGGAAAAGCTATATATTTAAAAACCTTTATAAAATTCAACATACATTTTTTACAACAACAACAAAAAAATATAGCAAAATAAGATGGAACTACCTTAAGCTGATAAATAGTATCTTAAAAAAGCAGGGCCGGGTGTGGTGGCTCAAGCTTGTAATCCCAGCACTTTGGGAGGCCGAGGCGGGTGGATCACGAGGTCAAGAGATTGAGACCATCCTGGTCAACATGGTGAAACCCCATCTCTACTAAAAACACACACAAAAAAAATTAGCTGGGCATGGTG